ATTCCAGGTGAGAATTCAGCAACAAAGTTGGCCAATGTCTGTGCTTTTATGGCAGTTCGAGGTTGAAACTTGACTTCGAATTGTCCCAATTCGACCGTCCACTTGAGGATTAGACCAGAGAAATCCACCCGTTCAACCAAGGCATTGAGTGGGAACTCGATCAAAACGATGATTATGTGAGCATGAAAATAGTGCGCCAATTTTCTGGAGGCCATCACCAGTGCCAAGGCAAGTTTTTCTAGCGACAAGTATCTCGACTCTGCTGGTAGCAAGGTTTTGCTCACGTAGAAGATGGGGAAGTGCTGGATGCCTTCTAACCGGACAAGCATTGCGCTAACTACATGCTGAGAAACGGCCAGGTAAAGGTAGAGTTCTTCGCCGGGCTTTGGTGTCACCAATAATGGAGCAGAAGACAGGTACGCCTTTAGCTCGGCCAAAGCCCTGTCGCATTCCTCATCCCACGAAAACTTGGATTTCAGGGCTCGAAAGAAAGGGTGGCAGCGATTTGATGACCGACTTATGAATCAATTAAGCGCGGCGGCCAATCCGGCCAGATGGTGCACGTCCTTCGCCGAGTTGGGCTACTTTAATTCTCGTGCGGCTTTGATTTGTGTGGGGTCTACCTCGATGCCTCGGTTTGTGACTAGGAAGCCTAGTAATTTCCTGGATCCCATGCCGAAGGCACACTTGGACGCATTCAAGCGTAACTTGCGCTGTCTGAGAATGGCGAACATCTCGGCTAGGTCAGACAAGTGGTCTGCCTGATGCTTGCTTTTGACCACCATATCGTCAATGTAAGCCTCCATCATCCGGCCTAGCAGAGGGGCGAACATTTTGGTCACCATTCTTTGGAAATTTGCCCCGGCGTTCTTCAAACCAAAAGGTATGACTCGATAGCAGAAAAGTCCCCTTGGAGTGGTGAAAGAGGTTATCTCACGGTCGGGGCCATGCATGGCAATCTGATGATAACCGCGGTAGGCATCCAAGAAACTGAGCCTTTCATGTCTGGCCGTTAAATCCACCAGCTGGTCTATTCTGGGCAGAGGAAAGCTGTCTTTAAGGTAAGCTCGGTTGACGATTTTGTAGTCGACGCAAACTCGCCACTTCTCATTCTTCTTGGGTACTACGACCATGTTTGAAATCCACCGAGGGTAGTGCACATCCTGAATAGCCCGTGCTTCAAGCAATTTTCCTACCTCTTCCGCGACTACCTCAGCGTGATGAAGAGCTGATCTCCTTGTTCTTTGAATGACTGGCCGCGCATTAGGGAAAACATTGAGTTGGTGGCAAATAAAATTTGGATCGATGCCAGGCATGTCGTAGGGCAACCATGTGAAGAATTCGATATTTGCCATCAAGAACTCTACCATCTCGGCCATTTTTTGAGCGGTCAGGCTTGATCCGAGCAAAAAGAACTTGTTTGGATTTTTCGTGTTGAGCCGTACTTCTACAAATTCTTCAACAGCTTTGTCCTCGGCCCTGGTTTCTACGTCATCAAGGACACTCTGGTCTTTTGGGCCTTCAATCATTTGTACGAAGCCTTTGGCAGCTTGGCTCCCGTTCACTGCCACGAAGCATTGCTTCGACATGACTTAATCGCCCCAAATTTCTTCAATTTTCCCCATAGCCGAGGGGAATCTCATAACCTGGTGGTAGGTCGACGCCACAACCTGCACAGCATGAAGCCAGCCCCTATCGAGGATCAGATTGTATGTAGACGGCGCCTGCAATACCCAGAACTCCACCTGCTTGACCACAAATCCGGCCTTGACCAGTAAAATTATTTTCCCCAAAGGCCACTCCGGTTGCGAGTTGAAACCTACCAGTGGCGAAGTAGCCGGAGCCAAGTCTGTATCTCGGAGTTTGAGTTATTTGAACGCGTCATAGTACATAATTTCAACCGAGCTTCCCTGGTCAATCAAGATGCGCTTGACATCGAACTCTTTGACGCGGAGGGTGACCACTAGGGCGTCGTTGTTGTGGCGTTTGAATGCGCTTTAGGTCCTTTGTGGAGAAACTAATCACATCTTTTTCCTCGGTCTTCCCCCTTTTGATCGCGGGCTAGACTGACAAAACTTCCCTCATGTGTTCCGCTTTTTTGATCATTCCGCGGAGCTCGCATACACGCGCCGGCTCCACTATGCCGTGGATCACATTAACCACTCCATGAGGGGGCGCCTCTAAGTCAACCGGTCCATGCGGATCAGTCGGGACGGGATGCGCGCGGCCTTAACACCTCCATCGATGTAAAGATCTAAGTGTCCGGCTACGACTAACTCCTCAAAGTGTTGCTTCAGAGGCAAATAGTTCTCCGTCCGGTGTCCTCGCTCCCGGTGATATGTGCAGCGGTATCACAGGTTGAAGCCCTTTTGCGCGTCGCCTAACTTAGCAGGAAATCGGACGTAATTCTCGTCACGAATTTCACTAAGTATGCGATAAATTGGAATCTTAAAGACCATGGTGATGCCCGTCCGAGCTTTCAACCTTCTATTGGCATCAGCTACGTCATCGCGGGGGTATTCATCTCGGTCATTCTGACGTCACCTTCTCTGGTTTTGACGATTCCACCCTCAGTCAGATTCCTCGGCACAGTCATTTGGACGGTTAGTCTCCTGTCCGACCGTGTGCACCTTGCCAGCCGACCTCTAGTCTGTGACCACCGGAGTTGTCTTCACGGTGGACGCCGCCGCATCATCCTCAACTCAGATGTGCTCCTTGATACGCTGCATTAGTTGGCCCATGGATGTCGGCTGGTTCATGATACGCGAGTCCCGCAGCCTATGTCCGACCGGGAGACCGCGCTTATATTGGGTGATTTCCAGGTTGATCGGGCAATCTAAAATCCCATTGAAGGTTTCCCAGTATTTGGAGTTGTATGCCTTGAGTGTGTCGCTCGACTCCATTTTGACACTGAGAAGGTGGTCCACCTCCTTGGGCGTTTTTGTGTTGGTCTTAAAATGAGTTACAAAGGCTTCCGCCAGCTGTTGCCACATTTCGATACTTCCCTCTGGTAGCCTCTCAAACCATTTCAAGCTCAGCTCGCCCAAACTCGACGGGAAGATAAGGCACGTAAGAGCGTCATTGCGCCTATGTCTGGCCATGACCTGCCGGAAGTGGCTTACATGCATGTATGGATCGGTCTTTCCGTCGTAGAGCGTAAACTTGGGTTGGTGAAAGCCTGCAGGGAGCGGAGTGGTTTCTATCTCACTGGAGAATGGGGTGGCGTTCAGTCTCACCAAATCTGTGTCTGGAAGGAGAGGCACGGCTGGGCGGGGCGGTGGCATTATGACCTATTCACTGGCGTGGCCCCTGTAAGATAGCCGCTGGAGCGCCGGCACCCATTGAGTCTCTCACCGGTGAGCCCGCTCCTTCAAGACTGCCCGCAATTCCTCTGAGTGAGCGGAATAGGAATACCTCGACGTCGTCGCCGGACGTGAGGGTTGATAGGTACTATTTTGCGTGCTAGACTTTTCTACAGCCGCGTCGGATTCTCCAACCCTGTAGCTTTTGGTGATAGAAAGGGAGGAAGTGTGCCGCTGGCTCTGACTGCTTGAACAGCGTGGTTGGGTGCGCTCACTGTGGTCTCCCACTCCAGCAACACCCTTCCCTTTGACATGCCGTTTGAGATCTTCCATCTCCGCCGCCATTCTCCGAATAACGGCGTCTTGGTCCCTTAACTTGTGCTCCAGACGCCTAGCGTGCGATTCTCTTTGCCGCCGGTGCCTGTCTGGGCTCCAAGAGTTACCAAAACTTCTACCGCGCTTATCCCGTGCGTCTCTTGAATGTCCTCCTGGGGAAGTCTCTAGGCCCGCCATGTTTGGAACGGCGGGGAGTTCATATCTCCGTCTAGTTGACTCCGGGGTAACACCGTCGATGGTGGACAACGGTATCTCGTCATTGTTCGCCATTGAAGGCGATTAGATGAGCTTGGAAGACAATGTTTGGTCTATCAAACTTTCCCACAGACGGCACCAATTATACGGGGAGCAAATATTCCGTAGTGCCCGTACTCCTTTTGTCCAAGCTCCTCGTCTGTCTGATCGACTTGCGAACAAAATGGCGGTAAGCTACCAGGCGGTATGTGGTCGGAAAACCCCTCCGACGGTCAAGTTAGTACACACTCAGGGATAGAGAGAGAGAGAGAGGAGAGACTTGAGTGTTTAGGTTTTTCTCACCAAATTATGTTTTTATATCCAGCATGGGGGCGCGTAGTCTTGCTTATATACTTCTGCGCTCAAATCTACTCCCATTGGTCTCTTGACGCGTGGAGCTGCTTTCCCATCTGTCAGCACAAATCCAACAATCACCACTTAACCATACCACCAGACGACATTAGTGGGAGTTCGGCATCCCGGCGGCATCACCTCAGCTTCCCATGACCGTGCTGCGCAACGTGCATGAGTGCTCTGCTCGCCGAGATCCATAACAGCCGAGCTCGGAAGCATTCCGGCAGAGCCGAGTTTAAGACAGGTCGGCCAGTGAACAGAAGACATTTCCCACTGAGCTACGCGTGTGACCCATGGAACTCGGGTTAGCAGGCGGTCATCTCGGCCAAGTAAGCTTGGTTCAAACATTGTACCTGGACCTCGGGCCTAAGCCTCGACCGAGCAAGATCAACTCCAGGGAGGCCTCAGTCAGCTCGGCCTAAACAGGGGGCCCGAGCCTCAACCGGGCAAACTTCACTCTGGACTGGCCCAAATTAGCTCAGCCAACATGCTCGGTCCTATTCGTCCAGCTTCTACCATAGCCCAAAGCTAGATTATAAATCTCCCTCACAATTATAATTAATTAACTCAATTGTGGACCGGACTGAACTGAATTGAAAGTATAAATCTCCAATTAAGCTCATTAATATATTGGGTTGAAAATATTAAGCCAATCTCCCCCAAAAAAACAAAGTTTAATGAAATTTATTTTATTTGATGTTAATAATATAAAAAAAAAAACTCACAAAAAATTTGGTAAAAAACAAATCAAACCAGTCCGAGGAGCCAATTCTCCGAATGCATCCAAACATAGCCTTGTTTCCAAACACCACGTTAAGATTTGAACCCTGAACTAGGGTTTGGTCCTCCACAATTGTTGTCGCTCTGCAATCTTTCTCTCCAACAAAAAAATGGGTAAGAGAGAGAAGAATCTAAAAGCGGCAAAGTATCATATCGAAGAAGAGGAGAACGAAGAATTACAATCGAAATCAGCAAAGTCTCAAATCGTACTGAACAGTAGTAGCGACGATGAAGAAGCCAACGAAGATCTGAGCTTGAAAATCGTCGAGAAAGCAATGCTACGAGCTTGTAGCTCCGGCCAACGGAACGACTCAGAATCAAAGGTCGATAATTCTTTGTTGCCGTTGCAAAAAGATGAAGTTGTGGTGACAGACGTGAAGAGCAAGAGGAAAAGTAGGAAAGAGAAGAAGAGCAAGAAGGTGAAAAAGCAAGAGGAAACTGTGAGTACCTGAATTTAATTGCAAAATTGAATCTTTATGTGTGTATCAAACTCAATAAAAAACCTTTTTCCTTGTGTATATCATCTGTTTGGTTGCCTGGAAAGCTGAGGAAAGCATAGGAAACTGAAATTTTGAGTTTTACGTGCTCTGACTTGTGTTTTGATTTGGCTGTGAATACTAAACTCAACTATGGCAAATAGTTAGTTTTTGATTAGTTGGGTTTTTAGCCTTCTGGGGTTTCAAGTAATGTGAAGTCCAGTATAAAATTTTTTCTTTGTATTTGTTTAATATTTGTTTCAGTTTAGCATAAAAGTATTAAAGATATAGTTAAAACTAGTTTTTGCAATGCTTTGTAATATGTATATATATATATGTATTTTTTTTGGTCTTTTAATTGGATTAGGTTGTTGTTGCAAAGGATGAAGAGGAGGCTGAGACAATCAAAGCCATAGAGATTAATGAACTTGCCGAGACAAATCCTGTTGAGAAACCTGATAACATTGTGCTACGGAAGCTTCTTGTGAGTTGAAATGAAATGCTTAATGTCACTTTCGAACACTATTTCGTTTGAAGGCTTAGAGTGGTATCTCTCTTATTGATTTGTTCTATCAGCGAGGGCCAAGGTACTTCGATCCTCCAGACAGTGGTTGGGGAATGTGCTACAATTGCGGTGAGGAGGGTCATAAAACTGTCAACTGCACCTCAGCTAGGCGGAGGAAGCCATGCTTTGTTTGTGGGAGTTTGGAGCACAATGCCAAGCAGTGCACAAAGGTTTGTGAAAGAAAAAAAGTTAATGGAAAGGTTTTTTTATTTTTATTCTATAAAATAAACTCTCATTATTTGGTTTACTGATTTTGGCTCAAGTTGAATTAAGTTTTGAATTGATGAGTTATTTACTGAGTTGTCTGGGTTGAATAGGCTTGATTGTTTTTCATCACTTTTTGGATTTTATTGTGGGAAAAGCTGAATTGGCTGCGAAACATCTATTTGTTACCTACCCTTTAGCCTTTTTCACAATAAACTATTAAAGAAAGGAAGCGTAGATATGCACCATAGTGAAAAAAGGAAATAGAAGGAGACGTATCTAAAGCTGTAAAGTTTAGGCAGTTTTGTTGTAGATTTGTGTTAAGATGCCAAGTGTTATGCATGTTAGCACATAGTTTGGTATGACCACTTGCCAGATTTCAGAGATGTGCAGGAAATTTCTTAGTAACCAATACTTTTCTCCAACACTAACCATATTATATCTCTAGACACCCTATCAAAAGTTTACATCATTTATTGTCTTTGTACTTCTCTATTATTTTCTTAGTAAATTTATCTCTTCCATAGTTGATCTATCAGACATTATTTCAAATTGAGTCTATGAAACTGTTGTTGTAAGCGATGCTTAACCACTCTTTCTCACTTTTTTGTTGTATGACTCATCAACGCAATACCTCTATAATTGTTACCTATTTGGATAATTCCTTTATTTTAATACATAGGTATTAAAATACTTTTTCTCCACTCTTCAAATATTTTCCTAATCATTACAACCTAATTAAAAAAATTTGTTAGCCAAAACACCAATCTTTACCTAAGCATTTCTAAGCCTCAATAGGTATACAATCAAGTCCTAATACCTTTTGTGATTTCTTTTTCTCTAGTGCAAATTGCACATTGAACTCCCTTAGTCGATGATAACATCTATATTCTCTAGTTCCATCAACGCTATCATATTCTTCGCCTCCATAGTTTTCTAAATGCTTTTCATTTAATGGTTTCTTTAAATAGACTTTTTCACATTTTTTATTCTCATCATCTTCCACTAACATTCTAGAATCCTCACTTTAAATAAATCCTCACTTTATCATTTCTATCCTTGTGCCACTGTTTGAAACATTCATTTTTTGTTTTTATTACGGCTTGTACCTCTCTATTCCATCATCAAATATCTTTAGAAATAATTTTTTTCTCCCTTTTAACTCTGCAAAGGCTTATTTTAAAGGCTTCTTTTAATATTCTTTTAATGCATCTCGCCATTTTATACCGCATCACATGTTATTAACATTACCTGCCAAACTCTACGTTGCTTTTTAAAGCATTTTATCCTTAAATATTTGTTATCTATCATTCTTTTTTGGTTTGATTATATCCCCTTTAATGTATGTATATAGTATTTTTAGTCTGTGTTGTGACTTTAAACTCTCTCGGGAATAATCTTGGAATAAAACGTTATATTTGATTCTCATTTGATCAAATTTTAAAAGTTATTAAGTGTTCCTCTCTTTTTTTAAAGATGGTGTTGGTTAATATAAGGTCGAATTTCACTGCTAAATCTAAAATGTCCTTTGCACCTTCATTTTAGTCTCCAAAAGCATATCCCCTATTGAGTTAAAATGTACTAGATTTGGGAAGAAGAACGAGGAGAATGAACAAACTCAAAGATGGAAGGTGGTTTGGGTTTTTAATTATGAGACCTTACACCTCAGCATATATTTATACTATTAGATAGATGTGGCCTCATTTCCCTCTTTGTTTCTTCTCTTAAGCAACGTGGGGTGGAAGGGTGCTGGGTTTGATGCCGCTTCTAGACATAATCTTTTACCTTAGTATTCCCTTTCTTGGGCCAAAATCATGCTTCTATTTTTTGTGAAATGGTAGGAGTAATACCCATTGAAGATAAGTTAAAAAAGAACATACTATAATGGTTTGATCATGGTGATGTTTGGTAAGTGAAATTTTAGCCATTTTTAGGCTTAAATCCACAAAAAAACAAAATAGGCCAAAATAGCCAATAAGACAAAATGTCACATCAAACCCATATCATTTCATTTTTTTTTTCACAAACATCACATCAAACTACAAAAAAAACCCAATCATCTTTCCAATCACAAAAATTTTAGCCTACTAAAATAGTCAAAAACTAAAATAGCCTACTAAAATAGTAACTTCTCAAACACCCACCATGTATAACATAGATTAGTAGATGCAATAGCAAGAGTAATATAGTCACTATTAATGGAAATGCTAGGGAAGGGGAAAACCTAAACTGACATGGGGCATTGTAGCAAAAAAATTATATGAATTTATTTAATTTAATTGAGCACGTAGCTCTCGTCAGAACAAAATGGTGAAAAAAGCTTCATGTGGCCGACCCAAATTGATTGGAACACAAGGCTTTAGTTTGGTTTGGTAGTAATTTTGAATCTATTCTTACTTATGAAACAGCAATGTTGATCTGGACATGCCAAAGTATTAATTTTGTCAATTAGTGGGACAGAAATATGAGGAAATTATAGATAATTATTCCTTTCAATATGTTCTAGAATAGAGTTTACGGATTATAGATTATTATTCCTTTCAATATGTTCTAGTTTCAGAATAGATAATTATTATTTTCAATATGTTTCCATTCCTTGCATTTTTATTTAAGAAATTGTCCAAATTCTTATACTGTGGAACCCTTGTTTGTCTATTTACAATTACATTCTATTCATATTGGGGGGAAAAGAGCCAAATTATGAAGTTTATGCTGCAACATCCTACCTGTTGTGGCAGCATAAGGGTGATGTGGTCAAGATAAGAAAGAGTTTGTATAACCTAGACATATCTGAGGCATGAACGATAGGGGATTTCTGTGGTGTTGGGGAAGTTCCATGTCCATCATTGTCATGAATCCTTTGCACATACAACACTGCCCACAGATAAAATAGTTGCACATGCTATGCAGGAGGATATAGGATTAGTCAAAACAGTTCTCGTATTTACAAATATGGGATTGAAGTAATTTACCAAATTACTATGTCATGCCTGATAGGTAGATATGTAATCCACAATTCACATAAAGCATATAATTGTTTATTGGTAGAGGGGCCAATTTAAGAGGAACCTACTTGCTATTATAAAATTAATAGTTCGTTGAGCTCTTAAAAATCTTCAAATGGATGGACACTTTGTTTTAATTCCAGATTGGATACCTACAAACTCTGGAAGGTGTGTTTTCTAAGGCTTAGCTTGTTCGAAATTATAATATGAACTTTGGATTTTTACTACGTGTTTGGTGTGAGCTATTATTCACTTTGAAGGTCTGGAAGATTGTATGATATCTCCTTGAAAAATTTTCATCTTCTCACATGACAAAGTTGCAGTGAATCTATCTGCCCACATGACAAGTACTTTGACCTGTATTATTTTTTCTTGCATCATCTCCTCTGCCGGTTTCCTTCAAAGTTTTTCCATCATTATTCAGTTGGGAGCAGTAATATCACTCTATTCTATTAGGCTTTAACTTGAATTTTTTTTGGCGTGGTGTTCAGGGAAAAGATTGCTTTATATGCAAAAAAGGAGGTCACCGTGCAAAAGATTGCCCAGAAAAATACACAGGGGGATTTCAGAATTCTAAGATATGCTTAAAATGTGGAGAGTCTGGTCATGATATGTTCTCATGCAAGAAAAATTATTCTCTTGATGATTTAAAGGTACTTTTGTTCTTCATGTGTATATATTTACACATTCATATATAAGCAGAAATATATTCAGCTTGTTTGGTTCCATTTTTCCAAAAATTCTATTTTCTTATTTTCCGTGTTTTTTTGTTTTTTACTGAATTTTAAAAATATTTTAAGCAATTTTTTTAACTTTTTAGACACACCTAACATAAATACACCTAAAAAGTAAAAAAATTGTAAAAAAAATCTTTTAAAAATTCATTAAATACCAAAAATACAAAAAAAATACAAGAATTCAGTACATTTTTTTTGTATTTTTATGTATTTATTAATTTTTTAAAATATTTTTTAAAATATTTTTACTTTTTAAATACATCTAAGTAAGGTACATCTAAACAAGTAAAAAAAATGTTTAAAAATTAAAAAAAATTCATTAAAAACAAAAAAAACGAAAACCAAAAAACTCAGTTTTCATAAAATTTAATCCAGAAAACTCAAACCAAATACACTGATTATTATTCTCTTGATGATTTGATGGGTTTATTGAATATTACCTTCCTGGAGGTTTTTATGGTTTTGTTTGGATTCAGACTAGACTGGAATTCTTGTTGTATAACAATTGTTTTGGCCTTTTCTCACCTCCTCTTTTGAAATTGATCAGGAAATACAATGCTACATTTGCAAGAATTTTGGCCATCTTTGTTGTGCTGACTTTACCGATACTGGTCCAAGAGAACTTTCTTGTTATAGATGTGGTCTTTTGGGCCATAGTGGTTTGGTAAGTTTATTCTATGGTTTCGTATTTGCTGCCATGGCCTATTTATCAATGAATTATGTCTTAAGGTTATAGATACAAACATCATATCTCAATTCCAATATGAACGGTTAAGAAGTGTGAACCAACATTTCTAATATTTTTTATAAAGCTTTATTCACAAACAAATTGGAAGTTTTAGGTTTAAGAGTTTCTAAAATTAAAAGGGAAAGTGAAAAAATCTATTGTGTGTGTCTATTGAGCCTTCTTTCTTTGAATGATGATCTGGACATGCCAAAGTATTAATTTTGTCAATTAGCACAATAGTTCTCCATTTTGTTAAAGAGGACAAATGTATGGAAAAAATCGAGATGGAGACTTTTGTGTTGAAGATAATGATTAGAAATGGCAACGGGGCGGGGCGGGGCCGGGGATCACACTTCCCGTCCTTGATCCCCAATGGTATAAATTTCTCCGTCCCCGACCTTGATCCCTGATGGGGAACCTATCACAGTTCCCTTCCCCGTCCTTTAACGGGGATCGGGTTTCCCCGAACCCTAAAATTTCCCGGACCAAAAAAAAAAAAAAAAAAAAAAACAGCAGCAGCAAGTTAGCGACAACATTATCAACCAACATCAACAACAACATTATCAACATCAACATCAACATCATCATCCTCATCATCAAACAACATCAACAACAACATCATCAACATCACAAAGAGATATAGATTTGAGAGAGATATCTAAGTAAAGAGAGATAGAGAGAGAGATCGCGAGTGAGATCCAAGCCGCATGAGGCACGACAGGATCTAGCGGCAGGACGGGCATGAGGAGCGAGATCCAAGCCACATGAGGCAGATCGGAGACTTGGTGGCCCCGCTGAGTCTGGCGTTGACGGTCGAGATCTAAGTTTGCAAATCTGAGTTCAACGGTGATGGGAGGAGGGAGAGGAGGATAGCGGAAGAGGAGGGAGAGAAGGACAGCGGAGAGAGGGAGATCGGCGGTGAGGGAGAGGAGGACAATGGCGGAGGAGGGAGGCTTTTAGAGAGAGAGAGAGAGAGAGAGAGAAACCCAGAGAGAGGTCTGTGTGAGTTGTGTCTGTGTTTTTTGGGTTTGGTTTATATATGTAGAGGGGTATGATAGTAATTTCACTTTGGGGTGAATTGGTGCCGGGCCGGGTTCGGGGCTGTGAAAGCTATCCCAGCGTCCCTGGCCCGAAACTGATCGGGGATTCAATTTCAAATACTATTCTTGTCCCCGGCCCGAAATTGATCGGGGATTCAATTTCAAATACCATCCCCGTCCTTGCGGGGGTATTTTTCGGGAAAAAACCATTCTAATCGGGGTCGGGTCCTCATCAGGCCAGGTTCAAATTGCCATCCCTAATAATGATTATGTCCTCAGCTTGGATGAGGTGATATGGGTTTATAGATACATGTGGTATTTCTGCATGTTTGCGTACGACACCATATTTGTGTTTGTGTTTATACTTGAGAATATTTTTTCCTTTTCTTTTTTATAAATTTTATTTTAAAGAGATACCCTATTCTTTCTCATTTCATGAGTTTTTGTACTTAATTTAGGAACATCTAAATGGGGTTTTATTTGTGCTATTGTTACAACTACTTTGCCATATATACGGAAGATGCGTCATATATTTTGCTTTTCAATTGTCTTTAGTTTTGTTCATGTATGAACCTTGTTATGAATATCCTGAAGTTGGTTTCAGATTTTCATAATTTTTCCATGGTATCAATGTTGTTGTTTCCATATATATTTCTTTAGTGAGGTACTATACATGTCAGTCAATTTATCATTTAAACTTTTGGTCTTAATTTTTACTTGTTTAGAAGAACATTGCAGTCGTTGGTACTGCTTTCTTATTGCTAGGAAGACAATTGTAATTAACATGGAATAATATGCAAGGAATGCCACATAGGCCACGTGTGAGACAACTAGTGTGGCTATGGAGTCTTTTGGCTCATGCTTCAAGTGTGGTGAAGAAGGACATTTTGCTCGTGAATGCTCAAGTTCAACTAAGGTACATTTCAGGTTTTCAGTGGGTGGCCTCACAGGATATCAGAATCCTAATAACTACACATGAGCTCTGAATTTTGATTTGTTGTCTATCACAATCTTCTTCTGTTCTTTGCTGTTATTCCTCCCTTCTCCCCCTTTCTGGATGTTTAATGGTCTTCTCAGTAACGTGGTAGTTTATTTTTGTTCCACAGGTTCGTAAGAGGAATCTTGACTTCTCAACCCCCACTCAGAAATTTTCCAAAGATAACAGAGACTATGTGCGAGTTGGATCTGTACCTTCTGATCCTGCCAAGGCTCACAAAAGGAGAAAAGGTCAATGTGAAGGAGAATTTACTACGCCATCTAACTCAAAATGGAGGGGTGGTTGGATTACTGAAGATCCTGGAGACTTACCCCATGGAAAAGCCAAAGTGCATGGATGGGTATCTCCTGCAACACCAACTAATATGAGGAATAAGAGTTATACTTCCATAACTGGTGGTCACTCTTCAAGTTCTTATTCTTCTAGAAAGACTCAAAAGTTTCAATGTGAAGGAGAATTTACTATGCCATCTAACTCAGAATGGAGGGGTGGTTGGATTACTGAAGATCCTGGAGACTTACCCCGTGGAAAAGCCAAAGTGCATGGATGGGTATCTCCTGCAACACCAACTAATATGAGGAATAAGAGTTATACTTCCATAACTGGTGGTCACTCTTCAAGTTCTTATTCTTCTAGAAAGACTGAAAAGTTTCATTTTGGAGCTTCAGCTTCAAATGGATCCTCCAAATTTAATCAGCACAGATATTCAGCATCAAGGTTTGGCAACTCTAGTAGTGACGGGATGAGGAGAAACTATGACTGGTAGCAGGAACATTTTTTTCCCTTTCTTTCTTTTCAGTTGTAGTAAGGTTAGGAGGCAGGAACTGCAAAAAGATGTAAATTTGGAGGCTCAACATTTGAGTTTTTAAACCTCGTAAGTACCTCTGCTTCTGTTCAAGTCAACTATTAGTTTTTTTTTTTTTGTTTTATTCACCATCTCCTTTGTTGTCTGGTTGCAAGATACATGAACTTTTCTAAATGTGTGAATTCCCCATGTCGGTGCATGATGCCTGGTTGTGGTATGAGGGCCTGAGCTTTAATATGTATCCAGCAAGTATCTCAATTGTTGTTGTACATAAAACCCTATTATATGATCCTTTTATCGCTAGTTACTTCAATATGAGGAAAGTATCCATGTCGAACACTTTGTTACATGAAGAACACCATTTCACTTGAGGAAAGAAAATAAGAATTTTTTGAAATATGAACGTTAGTTTTGGACTTTTGTCCTTGGATTTGGGGTTAGATGAAATTATCATCCAGACACATACCCCACATCTGACACAAAGTCTGTGTAACATAGTGAACTAAAACACTTGTACTATGGTGAACTATGACACTTCTTTGATTTTAATATATCCAACTGTAAATTTTCTATCCCATTCCCGTTAAATATAATTTCTTAGTGAAGTCAATATAATGCAGACAGCAGATGCTCTATTTTTTTAATTGTACCAAACTGAAATCATTTGAATTGATTTGTGTTTGTATTCCTGTGCAGTGAATTGGAGCTGATACACTACCAGAAGGGCGGTGTTTTATGTTCTTTCTCTTAGAAAGTTGTCACTGTACATTATCGGTAGGGAAATCCTAAACCCTGTACTTGGGAGCTTGAATATCTCCCGTCATATTTCAAGTTTAGTCAAAATGCTTGCTTAAGTTTATTATTATTATTATTATTATTTTGAGAATGTTTCTTTGCTTCCTAATATGTTGATGTTCGCTTTAATGTTGAGGATTGATAGGTTTTTAGTCTACATGGGAGGATCTTCATATCATAATTATGATGGAAGTATTGTATTTTTGAAGATCAGTTGAAAAAAAGGAAAGAAAGAAAGAATGATAGTTGGCTTACGATTCTGGATTGGTTGATTTGGATGTATTCTTGGTAATTTTTAATATAAATCATTCCTTCCTGTGTGGCAGTTGTATGTTGTGATAATGTTCTGTATTGTGTGCAGGGTGTCTTGTGGTATTTCAAGATATGCTTAGGTTTTTGAACTGGACAGCAAATTTTTCAGCAATTTATTTATTTATTTGTGTGCACACGTGAGAGAGAGTTGGGGTGGCTGCTATGCACCTTGCAAAGCAACTAATTTTGGGTTTATCTTCATGATTCAAATCGTTCATTTTGTACAGTTTGTCGAAAAAATTATCTATATATAAAAAAAAAAAAGGTTAATAGGACATTGGTAGTCATATGATCAGATCATATTCGTCTTACGAAATTAATGGATAGTTTATTCTCAGAATCTCATTTGCCTCCATTTGTTTAAGACAACATGATCTGGCACATGGCTATTTATTTTCGATCAACTCGATGTTTTACATTTTCACAGATTTTTTATATGGATAATATGCTCAATGGCTTTTACAAAAAGAACAATTCAGATCATAAAAAATATGTTTGTTATGGGACTCACCAAGGAGGCATTAAGTCTCAATTGGCAGTTCATTAGTTAGGCTGAACATGTATGCTTATTTTTGGGCAAAAATGAAAACAAAAAACTTGTTTGGAACACGACTATTTTGAAAACAAATGAAACGGGGTTGACGGCCATGGGAGTTGGTGGCCAAAGGTGGCTGTTTGTCACGGGCTATGGTGGCCGAAAGTGATTGATGGTGGTTGTAGATGGTGAATGATCAGCTAGTTGAAGATGATTTTTACTTGGAGATGATAGCCAAAGGTGGTTATAGTTGATGAGAGGTGGTTGGTGCTGATGGTAGTTAGTATTGATAAGTAATGGGTAGTCATAAATGGTAGAAGAAATAGAAATAGATGAAAAAATAATAAATAAATAAACAAGAAGAAACACACGCAAGGAGAAGAGCACAGCGGAAGACGAGAGTAAAAACAAATAAGAAACAAATAACCTAAAACTGAAATAATTGAAATCCAAATTAAATTAAGACTTACAATTGTTTATTGGAAACTGGGAAATACTGCTTCAAAATACGTAGCTTTATGACTTCTAGCTTGAAAATAAGTAATAATTTTGTTACAGAGAGGAGACTGATAGAGAGTTGTTTGTCAATTTTTTCAATCTGCCTTCTTCTTGACTAAGAAAACTCTTTTATAGCCAAAGTAGAATAACTTTGAGGCTTATGAATTGGGAATTATGTCCGAAAAGTAGCACATGAATTATGTCCGAAAAGTAGCACATGGGTGTTGTCTGCTGCTTTCGATGATTGACTGAAAGTTGATTGTTGATTGTTGCTTTTGATTGTTCTGGACTTGTCTTTGAATGAATAGTGAATAGTGAATAGTGACTTTTTCACTATTCACTTACTTTTGGTGGAGAGGCGTGACTGCACAGTTAACTAGTGGGGAATTAATATATAAATCAGCAGCTTTTTTCAAAGTAATAGCAGTGATTGAAACTGGTGTATATATGGAATCCAATGACTGTGTCAGCCATAAGGGTCTTGAGCATCTTAAAATTGTGGACTATATGGATCATGACTTGTAGAGGCTTCGGATGAGGCTGATCCATCAGAAACATCATCTTCATTTTGTGACTTGGCTTGGGCCAATAATAATTTTACAATATGAATTAATTCTTCATTAGTGGTCTTGGATTTGGGCTTTGTTTTGGGCTTGGGCTTGGATGATTTGGAAGGCCCAGAATTGGTTGTTGGGCTTCCAAGTCTAACTGTGATGAGAGGAAGTGGACTTCCTTGAGTGACTGAAGTAGTTGGGTTCTACTGAGAGGACTTGACCATTACAGGAGTGGGAGCATGAATGTTGACTGGAAATTCTTGCTGGACTTGTTCAATAATGCGGTGGACTTTGAATGTATCCTACCATTTGACAAAATGTTGTTGAATGACCATGTTATCCAAAAGACTGTATTGCCATTTAAAAATCTAAGGGACTTTGTATTTGGACATAAAATGAAGCAATGTAGGGAATTGACGTTTGTGTTGACTCAACTTGTAGACTGAAGAGAAATAATTGACTTGTTCTATTAGTTCAGTAGGGATAATTCTGTGATGGCACCATGATGAGACCACTGTCTCAAAAACCATGAAGGAAATTCTAACTTAAATTTATAATCAAAAGAGAAAAACCATGAGTGACTGTATGACTCATTTTGGTGGAGGAGGAGTTTGAACCAAGCATCAATGTAATCAAAATAACTATATTGTATCTTGTGATTGGGAAGATCTTGAAGTAAGAAAGGGAAATCTCATTCATCAAGGGATACAATGTTGTGTATGTAGAGGGAATGGTTAATGATTTTACTAGCATTAACTCAATCGTAAATAGGTTTAATGACTATAGATTTGTGGTGAAAGAGTATATCCTTATAGAAGGTAATTAACTTGTTGGATGAGAGGGAGTGACATGCCTTCTAGGAGGGAAATATGATGGGACTAGATCAATAACATTGTGAATGTTTTTATGGACTGCTTCTTTGTAGAACAGGTTGGATGATTGTTTAAGAACACAGTCTGTTCTTGGGGTAGATCTAACTGGATAATTAGTCGGCATGGGAGTAATTGGCTGACATGCAAAGGGGTCTGAAGCCAGAGCTGAGTGTAGCTAGGTATACGAATGTTACCAAGAATTTGATATCAGTTGACTAGATCAATCAGGGATGCAATAATAGGCTGATTGGTTGGCACAATGGCAAGAGGTTTTGTAGAAGATTTGTGGCTTGACATCTGTAAGGTAGAAACAGATTAGCATCTACTGAGGAGATCTAGTTGGTCAATATGAAAATTGAGAAGATTAGTGTAATGGGCAATCAAATTGTGTTGACTACGAATCTGTTGAAATTGAAGGTAAGGGTCTTGGTCTATTGACTTTAGGAAAGATATTTTAAAAACACAACAACGGATTAATTTGCGATAACGGGTAACTTGTGGATAGAAATATAAAGAGTAGGCATGGTGCACTATCCCCCCTTGTAAAAATTCTCGGGTAAGGAAATCAGGAATAAAATTTTGACTATCAGGAATATATTTAATATTAAAATCAAAGATACTTAAAATAGATTGCTATCGGGCAAAAATATGCTTACTAGCAATATTTTGAACATCTTTTTCTAAAACATATTTAGCACTTTTACAATTAACACGAATTAAAAAAATTTGATTTAAAATATCATATTGAAATTTACTGATACATAATACAATGGATAAATTTTTTTTTTTAATATTACTATAATTTTTCTGTGCTTTGTTCTAAACACCAGGATGAAAACGAGCAATTTGTTCAGATAACTTGGGTGTGACTTTCTGAAAGAAGATGCCACCATAACTAATGTTAGAGGCATCAGTCTGAATAATTTTAAATGAATTCTTAGTAGGAATACCAAGGCTAGGCAAGGTTTTGACATATTTCTTGACTTGTTGTACGATAGTAGTATGACTGGGAGACCATGGAGGAGCATTGTCCTTCAACCAATCAAAAAGAGGTTGATAGGTTTTCTGAAGGTCTTGATAGAATTCAACAATGTAATTAAGAGAACCTAAGAATCGTTGTAATCGGGTTTTGTCTAAGATTTCATCAGGAAACTTAGAAGCAAATTCAATAGATCGACTTATGGGAAGAATTGTACTTTGGTATATATCATACCCTAAAAATCAGACCTTGGTTTGAAATAATATAATTTTAGCCGTAGAGGTGACTAAACCATTATGTTTTATAATCTGAAGGAAAGATAGGAGATATTTCCAATGTTCATCGATTGACTTAGAGAAAATAAGAATGTCATCTATGTAAACAATAGAAAAATGATTAAAAGGGTTAAATATTTCATTCATGATATTTTGAAATTCACTGGGTGCATTTTTCAAGCTGAAAGGCATTACATTCCACTTGTAATGACCAAAAGGGGTAGTAAATGCAGTTTTATAGCGATCATTGGAGTGAATTTGTATTTGTCAAAACCCACTTTTAAGATCAAATTTACTAAAGATGACAGATTGACTAAGTCTTTTAATTATATCTTTTTTTATTGGGAATTGGATACCTTATCCATTCTAAACTTTGTTTAATGGTTTATAATTAATACTAATCTTGGAACGCCATGTTCAAGTTCAGCATTTTTGTTGACATAAAAAGCGGGACAAGACCAAGGTGACTTACTTGTACTGATGATATTATCGTTAAGTAATTCATTAATTTCTTTTTTACACATTTTTACTAATGCATTATCCATTTGAATTGGTCAAGAATTAGTAGGAATTTGCCTTCTATTAAAAATTTTAATATAAGGAAGTACAACGACATGTTTTTTCCTGTGCCACAAAGCACTAAGTAAAGTAGAACAGACTATAGTTTCTAAATGCTTTTTAAATTGTTCAATTTTTGCAACAAGATTAGGATTGGTTAGTTGGGATTCAACTCGTTTATGTTTTACTTCTTCTTTGAGAAATTTGAATTGTTTTGTTAATCGATTAATAGATTGGGATATTGAACATTCTTTTAATAAATTTAATTCTTTGATTTCAGGAAGAGTTAAAAAGTTAAAAGTTACGAATTTACCAAAAGCTTGGGTTGTGATACCCTAATTAGTAGTAGTGAAAAGGTATAATAAGAAAATAAATGGTGTCCCTAAAATAACTTTATTTGTCATATTTCTTACCAAAACAAATGATGTTTTAAAACAGACATGATTTTGACAAATATAAACTTTGGGTAATTTATATTTAATATGCATTTGACTTCCATTAGCAGAACTTAATTGCTCACTAGTCTTATGATAATACTTTGTGGGGATTAAACCTTCTTGAATACAATTTAAATTAGCGCCAGTGTCAACGAGAGTTATGACGTCAATTTCAAAATCATTAATAACTAGTTTAACCTTCGAATGCCATTTTTGAATATTAATTCTATTAATTATGTTTAAACGATTACTATTTTGGTTATCATTGTCACTATTAGTTTTAGTAGATTGATTATCAAAGATGA